TACAGTACAGGTATGCACAAGTGTGCATGTGCAGTCATGTATGAGTCTAACACGGGGGTGTGTGTATGGGGGGGTGCACACACATGAATACAGTACAGGCATAAGTGCACAAGTGTGCATGTGCAGTCATGTATCAGTGTAACACGGGGGTGTGTGAGCGCACGCATGAATACAGTACAGGCATAAGTGCACATGTGTGCATGTGAAGGCATGAATGGGTGCATCACAGGTGTGTGAATGTGTGTATAGGCATGTATGCATGTAGGCATGTATGACCGCAGGGGTTAGCCATGAGACCTTCTCAGGGACTATTCCCTGCCCGTCCTGCCTCCCTCTCCCTTACTCCCAACTCACCTGTTTGAGCACTGTGATCTTGGAGTCATTGGTGATCAACGCTGCCTGGTTCAGAAGATCCACCACCTGGAGGGAGGGGCGAGCCAGGTGTCACGGCCTGCCTTGCTGGCCCAGGTCGATCCCCACAGTCCTCCTGAGCTGCTGTCTTGGGCAGCATCGTGCGAAGGTGAGAGTCACACTCTCACTCCCACCCCCTCAGCTACACTTACCCTCTCAGAAGTGGTCATGCCATCAATGCCTGGCCCTTCCTCTTGTGTGAAAAACTGTGATGCCACGCTCCGGCGGGTGACACTGTCTCCACTGCCGCTTGCCATGACTGCTGTCAGGTTCTCCCTGGAAAAGAAACCAGTAAGTTTCCCTGTCCAGTCCTCCTTCCTCCTCTAGGGTGGGTACAGGATTTATGTTCATGTGCAGGGGGTCCAATCCCAGGGACAATGATGTCCCAGTCAGAGGCACAATGCGTCATCACCAATACTTTTTGTTATTTTTTTTAAACACAGGGTGTCGTGTTGTTGGGCTGGTCTCAGACTGAATGGGGAGCCAAAGATGGCCATCAACTCCTACTCCTGTCTGTGCCTCCCAAGAGCTGGGATTACAGGTGTGCACAGCCACACGTCTCCAGGCCAGCCAGGGCTGCACAGTGAGACACATCTCAAAAAAAGAAAAGAAGGAAGGAGGGAGGGAGGGAGGGAGGGAGGGAAGGAGGGCCATCTACATGACCAGGTGTGGTGGTTCATATCTCTCATATCTCAGCATTTTCAAGATGCAGGTAGGTAGAAGCATCAAGATTTTAAAGCCAGCCTCAGTTACATAGAGAGTTCAAAACCAGCCAGGGCGACTTCATTCTGTCTCCCCCCCAAAAAAAGTTGAAACAGAGAAAAGACTCATTGTGATACAGCATCCTTAAGCTCCTTCTGTGAAAGTGAGGGAGAGGAACTTCTACACAATTATCACAAAGTCATACTGACAAAATCATGAAATGACTCACAACATTACTTTAATCCATCCAAATGTCCTTAATAGGGAGACAGGTTGCAAAGACGCACCTGCACACCGCAGGGCCCTGCAGGCCAGGGGGCAGTGCTTGCACAGAGTGTGCAAGGCCCTGAGTGGCACGGGCTGGACACTGGGTAAATGAGGCCAGCAGACGGCACAGCTGTAAAGAGAAACGGACGGGGAGCCAGGCAGGCCCACACCTCTAGTCTTACACTCTTGGAGTCTGAGGCGGGAGGACTGTGAATCCAGCCCAGCTGGGCAGCTAAGCAAGACTCTCTATTGAGGGCGGGGGAAGGGATATGGAGACTCTCTACACGCTGACAGAATGCAGTGAATCTGGGAGCACCAGCAGAGTGGACCAGAGGGATTCCCACAGCTCCCTTTTTACGAGGGGGGGACGGAGGTGGGGGGGGGATGAGGGAGAGAGATCTGTTAAATGAAGAAAACCAAGGCCAGGGTGATATAATCCTGGCGGGACGCTAAGGCAGGAGGACCAAATCGAGCTGGATGCCCATGTGAAGATATGAAAAAGGACAAACCAAAAGCTTTTTTTGTTTTGTTTTGTTTTTTGAGACAGGGTTTCTCTGTGTAGCTTTGAGCTTTTCCCAGGCTGGCCTCGAACTCACAGAGCTCTACCTGACTCTGCCTCCCAGCTAAAGGTGTGCTAACATTCTGAGCCACGTGTGAAAGTATGTCTGTCACTCTCACACACTGCTTAGAGTCAGGACCATAGCCACATCTCTACCTTAAAGGCCTAAGAAGCCTTCTAGGGGCTAGCCTTGTCTCTCTCTGGCTGCTTTGCAGTCAGCTGACCTCACCCTGCACACCCCTTTCTCAAAGTCTGTTTCTTCTCTTGCCCGTAGAGATCTAGTGCTTTCTTCCATAGTGAGGCCTTCCCCACTCCAAATTCACACACACACACACACACACACACACACACACACACACACACACCCTGTGCACCTCCAATGTGTTCCTTTCAGCCACACTACTGACCACCTCCATGCCCCGTGTCTGTTCATCAAGCCAAGGGGCATGGCCACCAGACATGACCACCTCAATGCTCCTTGGACCAGAAAGGAAGACACTTTCCACTCTTTTTCTGGATGATACATCAAGAACCAACAAAACTTTCCTTCCTCTTTGGTTTACTCTTTAATTTTCTGGGTTTTGTTTTGTCTTGAGTATATATTCCTATTTTTCTTTTTTACTATTTTTAAATTAGTAAAAATGATGTTCAGCTGACCATCAGTATCAGAGATTGGCCCCAGGGCCCCCTTCATATCAAAATTCAGTCTCTGGCCGGTTGGTGGCGCACGCCCTTAATCCCAGCACTTGGGAGATAGAGGCAGATGGACCTCTGTGAGTTCCCAGCCAGCCTGGTCTATAGAGTGAGTTCCAGGACACCTAGGACTGTTACACAGAGAAACCCTGTCTCGGAAAAAAAAAAAAAAATCAAAGAAACAAACAAAATTCAGTCCCTTATTTAAAACAGAACTGTTTGGCCAGACCTCGTTGCACAGCATTTTAATCCCACTCAAAACAAAAAACAAGAACAACAAAACAGTACTGTAGGGGCTGGGGACAGAGCTCAGTTGGTACTCAGTTGTTTAATATTCACAAAGCCCCAGGCTCCATCTCCAGCATCACATAAACCAGTGGTATAAAATTCAAGGTCATCCTCCATACATAGTGAGTTGGGAAGTCAGCCTGGGCCAGGAGACCTTGCCACAAACAACAGAGCAGTGTTCATATGAAACCACACACCCTCTGGCACATTTTTTAAAAACTCTCTCTCCCTGGCTGGCTGGAGATGGAACCCAGGGCCCCCTGCATGCCAGGCAAGTGCTCTACCACTGAGCTACATCCCAGTCCTTTTTGCTGTTAAGACTTTGAGAGAGGCTCTCACCAAGTTGCCCAGGCTGCCAGTAAACTCATTCTGCAGTCCTGGCAAGGACTAGAACTTTGAGATCCTCCTGCCTCAGTCTCTTCAGTAGCTGAAATTACAGGTCTGTGCCATCAAGCCTGGTTTAAATCATCTCCAGATGACTTAAAATACCTAAGGCAATATAAATACTATGTAAAGGTTGTTACATTGTATCGTTTAGGGGCTAATGTTTAAAAAAAGTCTACATATGGTCAGCTGAATCCACACGTGACCTTCTGGATACAAAGGGCTGACTGTCAACAAACTATTTTCTTTTTTTGTTTGTTTTTGAAGACAGGGTTTCTCTGAATATCCCTGGCTGTCCTGGAACTCACAGAGATCCGCCTGCCTCTGTCTCCCGAGTGCTGGGATTAAAAGCGTGCGCCACCGCCACCTGGCCATAAACTATTTTCTATTTCACTGTTTTTCTCTTAATAAATGCTGGGGGGGGGGTCTGTCTATTTTTCTCCTTCCTTTCTTTTTTCCTACAGCTGCAAATCATTTCCTTACGTAAATGTAATTACTGATTTCAGCCAGGCTTCCAACTTTAGAATAGTTGGGGTGCTTGCAGGCTGGCTGGCTATCTGAACCACTAACAAATTATCTGGCTCCCCCTCGCTCGCTGCGCGCTCGGCTGTGAACTGCTCCTCCCACCAGAAGTACAACAACTCCTCTGTTACCCTAACGAGAGGATCTCCTCCGAGTAGTTTGTCGTCCCCCCCCCATTCATTCAATGACCGTCAACTGAGCAACTCCCGTGTGTGATGGGACGGGAGCTGTGCTGGAAGCAGCAGGCACTGACGGAGACACACCCACACAAGAGTTCAGGGTCAGAGACATCCTCAGACAGCGCACAAATAAAACCCTAAAAAATAACAAACCCGACCACGCGTGGTGCAGAGAGAGGAAAGCGCCGGGACCCGGGGGAGCCTTCAGCAGGAGGACCTGGGGCGGGGAGGAGGGCGGGAAACGGGGGGTCCGTGGGGGAGGTGACGTGGGGGTGCCGAGCCCCCCGACCCCAAGGATGAAAGGGAGTTAGGCAGGCGGAGGATGGCTCACTGCACCTTCCGGGGGGATGGAGAGGCGGGGAGCCCGTGCAAAGGCCCCGAGGAGGGAGGCACATGGCCATTCTGGGGAAGTCAAGGGTCGGTTGCAGCTGCGTGCGGAGCGGAGGGGGAGCCAAGGCGCAGGCAGACCGGCGGCGGCGGAGGCCCGCGGGCCAGGCGTCCGCGGGGGCCACGTTGGAACTTTGGCCGCGGGGAACTTGGTGGCCGAGGAAGGGTCCCCAGCAGGGGTGGGGGGAGGACGAGAGGGCCCGCGCCCCCGCTGCTCCCGGCCCGGCCCCGCCGCTCGCGCCCCGGCAGCAGCGCCCCGGCCGCAGCGCCCCTCCTCCCCGCGCCCCCGGCCCTCACGCCGCCCGCCGCCCGCTCACCGCGGCTCCGGCCTCCGTCCCCCTCGCGCCCCCTCAGCAGCGCCGCTCCGCAGACGCTGCCGCCGCCGCCATCTTCCGCCCGCCGCCGTAACACAGCGCAGGCGCTGCACTAGCAGGGCCGCCGGGAAATGGAGTCCCGCACCGCGGCCCGTCCCCGCCCCTACGGCGTGCCGCGTCGGCAGCCGCCCGCCCTCCCCGGGTGTCCACCGGGGCGGCCGCCATTTCCGGCCCTCGAGCGCCATGCCTCTTGGGAAATGTAGTCCGTGGCGCGCGGGCGCCGGGCGGAAATGAGAACGGAGGCTTCTGGGAAATGGAGTTCCCGGAGGGCCTCCCCCCCCCCCAACCTCCCTAGACGGCAGGCTGACGTTAGACCGGGGAGCGCTGTGAGCGGAGCTCCTGGGTCTTGGAGGAGATCTGGTGCCTTAATGGGGTCTGAGCAGAAGGCCTGAGCCTTTCCACCGCTGGCCCTGGCCCCGTAGGCAGCCTGCGGCATCTGCAGTCGTCGAAAGCCTCAGTCTTCCCGTCTGTCCAATGGGAATGGGGTTTCAAGCATCTCTGCGGGATATTTACGGTGTCATACATGGACTGATGGAGTCCTGAGCGCTGTCAGCCTCCTCTCCTTCGTGGAGGGCACGAGGGGCTCTGGCGTTTCCCTCTCTTAGGTGGAGATGATGAGACACCTCGAGGCGGAAAGGTTCCCCAGCCCTCGCCCCCGTTGTGGCTCTAGGGCTCTTGGGATCTGCAGTGTGTGGTCCTGCACTCCACTCCCGGTAGCTGCCCCCTCGCTTCAACCATCGCTCGCTCCCAGGTGCCAGGACCGAGGCTGCGGGTGCCTAAGGTTTGTCTCCTTGCGATCCCGCAGGGGGCGCCCCGATCCGAGCGCACCGCCCTGGGGGAGGTGGGAGGGGAGCCCGGGGCGGGCCAGGGCGGGGGTGTCCCGGCTATAAAAAGTGACTGCCTCCCGAGGCGCCTGGGCCAGCGGGACTCCCGGGCTGCGAGCCTCAGTGCCTGCCGAGTGGCCGGAGCGAGCGCTCGGTTCCCCCGGGGGGCCGCAGCCTGGGCGTGTCGGGGCGCAGGCCCGGGGGATGCTGGGCTCGGTGAAGATGGAGGCCCACGACCTGGCCGAGTGGAGCTACTACCCGGAGGCGGGCGAGGTGTGTCCTCGGGGATGGCGGAGCGGGAAACGGGGGGCAGGTGTGGAGCTGCGGGCTGGGGTGCAAACGGGGGCGGCGGTGGTGTGGGCCCAGGTGGGAGCCAAAGGCTTGGGGACACAAACACCAGGTGTGGGAGTCAGTCGGGGACAGGGGGACGAGACTTGGGAGAGCGATTCAGACTAGCACGGTCCAGGCGATGCTTTGCTTCCAAGCGAGGAAAATGTTAGCAAGAAAACCTCGAGGCCGCACTTGAAAGGTGTTGGGACCCTGCTTCATTCAAGTGAACAAAATTGGAGATGGAAAACCGGAGCTCTGGGATAGGGGGTTCGAACTGGAGGACCTCAAGAGACGAGGTTCAAAGTAGAGAGGACGGGTTGGGAGCTCCCACTACGGGACGTCTGTGGCAGAAGGACGGGGTGGGGTGGGGGCTTTGGGCAGTTGGGATCAGAATCGGGGTTCGGGGATAAAGATCAGCTGGGGAGCTAAGGTAGGGGAAACGGGTAAGCGGGATCCTTTTGAGGAACCCACCGTAACAGGTGGCTTAGGTGGACCAGTCCTCAGATGACGTCAGCCTTGGGAGATCAGAAGACATATGGGCCTCCACACCTATGTGTAGAAGTCGGTCTTCACCCCACGTCCTTACCCCGGCCCTCAGCAGGGCCTCCCTTCAGACCGTGCACAATCTAGTCATTGCTAGATTTACCTCAGTTCCTCCAGCCTGACAAACAGAAAGTCCCCCTTCACGTCTAACTCCTGTTTGTCCTGTTGCAAGGGACCCGTGCTTTGTTCACTGGCCCTGTAGTCCGCATTGTGAGGTTCTGGGCCCATAGGTTCCTGACCCAGGAGACCGAATGAAGGTGGACGCGGCGTGTGAGATTGGAGTGGCCGGGCTCACCACCAGAGTCAAGATTTAGTAGTTGAGGGAGGTGGCTAGGCTCAGGATTTCCAAGTTGTGGGGTTGGACTCCTGGATCCCTAGGGGTTATGGGGCTCGGACTTGGCCAGGCGCCCGGGAGGGGCCTGTCCTAGGTCTGGGGAGGTGTAGGGGGGAGGCAGAGCTGACAGGGAAGGTATTGGGAGTGTGGGGAGGTGGGAAGGGAGGGGGCCGGAGGTGTTGGTGATATTACGGGGAAGGCAGAGGCCAAGGTGTTACGTGGAGGCTCTCAGGTAGTTGGGAGTTGGAGCACTGGGTTTAAGAGTCAATTCCAAATTGGTCCTGGGGATACAGCCAAGGAAGTTAGTTTGGGGGGGGGGGTCCTAGGGAGGAGAGGCTGAAGTTTGGGGGTAGTGTGTGAATGCCCCCCCCCCCAGCTGAGGAGGCAGTGAATGTGGAGACTGACAGAAACTGACAGACCAGTTGTGGTTCTGCACGTGTGTGTAAACCTAGCACTTGGGAAGCCGAGGCAGGAGGATGGCAAGTTTGAGGTCAGCTACACAGCAGGTTCCAGGCCAGCTTGACCTACAGAATGAGACCTTAGGGGAAGGGGAGTCAGGCGAGGGCCAGCCTAGATGTGATTTTGGAAGAGTTAAAGTAAGGAGAGACTGGATGGTGTACGGAGCTGCTGTTGAAGGTGTCCGTCCGCCCCCCCCCCCGGCCCCCCCTCCCCGCCCCCCAGCCAGGCACCACTCACTCGGCACCGGTACTGGTACCAGAGTGCAGTACCTGCCAGTTCTCAGCAGGAAAGCCCACCTCTCTCCACGCTCTTGAGAACAATGGTGGGCTGCATTCCAGTGGGACTAAGAACAGGCAAGACCCCGCCCCCCAACTAATGGCTTCTGGGGGGGTGGGTGATGAAGTTGATATCTCCTGTCCTACTCGGTGGCATCCTGGGGTACACCCATGGGACCTTATGGTCAGCTGTCCCGACAGCTCCCCCTGCCCCCATTTTAGAGATGAGCTGTAGGGCGCCGTGCAGGGTGCTGGGGTCCTCAGGTGGGTCTGGAACTGGAAGCGTCACCAGGCTTCCTTTCGGCTGCCTAGCACACCCTTCTTCAGAAACAATAAGGAAATGAAAAGGAAGAAATTGAAGCCTCCCAGGTGGGGATGCAGGTCCCCTGAGGGCTTCCCCCCACTCTCAGCCGCACCCTGAGTGGAGTGGGGGAGATCCGGTTCAGACCCGGACCTCAGGGGTTCATCCCAGCTATGGGGCGTGGGAAAGCCCAGGGTGGATTAGAGCAGCTGGAGTGCTTGAGGTCAGACCTCAAGAAGGACTTCCGGGTGGGTGGGGAGCCAGAAAAGGAAGGCCCTGCTGTCCCAGGGTTGGGGAGGTAGAGTGAGGTGTGAAGGGATGAAGAGACTCTGGATCCCCCTGAGGCCATCACTTTTCCCTTCCAAGGGGAGGGGCAGAAGCAGCCAACCAGGGTGGGAGGACCAGAGCATGGAGGAGGGTAGGAAACAGGCTCCTGGAGAGAGAGGGTGATGCAGAGGGGAATTACCAAGCTATGTATACTGCACACAGGGGGAGGAGGGGGAGGGAGGGGGGCAAGGAGGGGAGACTGAGGCAAGAGATGAGGTGGTGAGTGACTGACAGGCGCTGGGTGGGAGAGGGAAGCGAAGGATGGGGAGAGGGACGCTGGATGGGGTGCGGGGCTTCTGGGGTGGAGCTGGAGGGACACTCACTGCGGATGGGAAATGGCCTGTGCAGGGGCCAGGGGTGGTGGTAAACACCTTTAATCCCTGCGGGAGGGAGGGGGAGGCAGGAGAATTGCCACACACCTGAAGGCAGCCAGGGCCGTACAGCAAGATCCTGTGTCAGAAGGAGGGAGGGAGAGGGGAGGGAGGAGAGGCGTGAAAGCCGTCGGAGCTGCCCGCAGAGCCCTGTGCGCTGGAAATGCCTGTACAGTCGGCATTTGGGAGGTGGGGGCCGGAGGCTCAGGAATTCAAGGCTATCCTTGTCCATCTAGTAAGAGCTTCCTGTGGGGGCTGCAAAGAGAGGGAGATGGCTCAACAGTTAAGAGTGCCACACCGCTCTCGCAGAGGACCTGAGTTCGATTCCCAGCATCCGCATTAGGCAGCGGACCACTGCCTGTGACTCTTGATCCAAGGGATCTGACAGCCTTTTCTGGCCTCCCCCAGCACCCACACTCACTTGCACACACCCACACACAGACGCCTACACAGAATGAAAAAGAAAGAAAGAAGAGAAAAGAAGCCGGGCGGTGGTGGCAGCAGCGCACGCCTTTAAACCCAGCACTCAGGAGGCAGAGGCAGGCGGATCTCTGTGAGTTCGAGGCCAGCCTGGACTACCAAGTGAGTTCCAGGAAAAGGTGCAAAGCTACACAGAGGAAACCCTGTCTCAAAAAACAAAACAAAAGAAAGAGAGAGAGAGAGAGAGAGAGAGAGAGAGAGAGAGAGAGAGAGAGAAGAAAAAAGCTGCCCGGGGCCGTAGCAGTCGCTCAAATGTTAGCCTGGTGCGCAGACAGCCCTGGCTTTGATGCCCGGCATATCACCCAGGTGGCTGCCCATGCTTGTAGTCTCAGCTCTTGGGAGGTAGAGGCAGAGGAGGAGTCAGGAGTTCGAGGTTACTCTAGGTTACTTCAAGGCTAGCCTGGGCTACGTGACACTCTTGTCAAAGTGAGGAAGGGAGGAGGGAGGGAGAAAAGAGCTACCTGGAGCGGCCGGAGGAGGAAGGCACAGGGACTTGTCACCTGTCCCTGACTCCCTAGGCTGTTCTGACAGGTCCCTTTGTTCTCTGGACCTCGAGTCCAGCTAACGCTCATGGTGTGTCAGAGAACCAGAAACCCAGTGGTTTCCACTCAATCAACACCGAGTCTAAGGTCCCTTCCATGGCCATGAGATCCCAGCCGGGAGAGGGGAGGGTGGTCAGGCACATGGAAGACTGGAGGAGAGAGGACAGAGGACAGAGGGTAGACAGGATGGTATGTCTAGAAAGACAAGGACCGTCCAACATGCTTAGCGTTTTCCCTGCTCTTCGGGATCGCTGACTTTCTGCTAGACAGGGTGGGCACTTCTGACTGTCCTGGCTGATCCAGGACACCAGTCAGGCCCAGGTTCTAGACTACCCAGTTTCTTCCTCTTCCTTTCAGTGTGGCCCTCACCCACTGACAACTTCTCTGGGCCATAGCTGACTCAGCTGTAAAATGGGCATCAAAACAACTCTTAAGTAAGGAGTGTGGCTCAGTGGTAGAGCCCCTGCCTAGAATCCCTCAGTGAGGGGCTGGGGTGTGGCTCAGTGGTAGAGCCCCAGCCTAGAATCCCCCAGTGAGGGGCTGGGGGTGTGGCTCAGTGGTAGAGCCCCAGCCTAGAATCCCCCA